ATCCACACCCCCCCTACGGATGAGGTCAGTAAAATTTTAACCCCTAAGAAAAAAAGATCAAAGTGCCGACACAAAACACCCCTCGGAAATTTGGAAATTTTCCCCTTACCCCTCAGAAAAATCGCAGAGATCAAAGGATGCCGACAGGCTTAACCCCTCAGAAACGACTTTTTGAGTCACCCTTCAGAAAAGCTCATCCGTAGGGGGGGTGTGGACATTAAATGGAATGGCCCCCAATCCCCTGCGGCCATTCCATTTAATGTACACCACCCCCCATGGAATACCAGCATTTATACCAGAATTGGGCTGGTATTCCAAAGGTTGTAGGTTTGATTCCCACCATGGCCAGGCATATTTTTCAAGGTTTCCCGGTGTGGATATACACTCAGAGTAACATCACAAGCATTACACCAACACAGAAAAAGAGTACATTACACCAACACAGAAAAAATTCAAAATTTGAGCCCCTAAGAAAAAAGATCAAAGTGCCAACACAAACACCCCCCAGAAATTAAGAAATTTTTGCCTCACCCCTCAGAAAAAATGCAAAGATCACAGGATGCTGATGCACACATTCAAACCCCCTCTGAAATTCTCGTCCATAGGGGGGATGTAGTGCTGTGCAAACTCCGGTTTTTCATCTCCGGCTCCGGCCGAATTACAGCTCTGAGCTCCGGCTCCGGCCACAGCATAAAATATTAAATAAATGTTTTACGATCAGAGAACATTTATCAATATTATTATGAATAACCCTTTTCGCGCTTCCTAATTATCAGATAACATAACTCAGGAAACAAAACAGTGAAAACACTTAACCACGCAGAAACTATCTATATGGAAACAAGCCTCGAAAAATCTTTGACACGAGGCATGACGCGAGGCATGACGCTAACACTCTCAGACTCCACAGCGCAATTGTTCGCACGCAAACAAAGTACTCTGTCATTTTCAAAAAGTTGATATTTATTTGTTTTGTACTTTTTCGTTATCTACAAGGCATGAATACACAGAATACAGGCTTCATGAAAGCATGACGTTTGTAAGTTGCGATCGTATTACAGCTTTTCGGCGCTGTTCCTGTGGGCTGTGGCAGTTTGAGTCTATGATGAATTCAGTAACAGCAATTGGCAGTTTGCAGTAACTAACAATCGTTTGACATTTGTCTCATTTCATATTGTTTTCTTGTCATTTTGCCGGAGCTGGGAAAACGTAACTTCGGGCTCCGGCATACAAAATTCTGCTCCGGCGTCGGAAAAACCGCCGGAGCTCCGGCAGAACTCCGGCTCCGGCAACTCCGGCGCACAGCACTTGGGGGATGGGGTGTACATTAAATTGAATGACCCCCGATCATTCTGACTGTAATTCTATCAGTTCAAGTTTGGAATTGTGTGAAAACGTACACTGAATTCTGAACGAAATTTCAACAGTTTAATAAATGAGTCTCTGTTAAAAAAACTTAAACCTCATGCTTTCTTAAGTTTCCAAAAAGTATTTAAAAGTATATCGTACTCCATATTTTTTAATTTTGTTTTTTTAGAAAAGTTTTGTTATATATATTATAGTCTCATACCTCTGATTGCAATCTGGTGTATTAAATGGTCAAATGCCCCATGTCTTGTGGCTCAGCGTCAAATGCCCTACCCCAACAGCAGTTCAAAAGGTCAAATTTCCCACTCTGGGGATAGAGCAAGCGACTCAAATGGCCGGGGGGCGGGATGTCAACAGCATAAATTGATTGGCGAATTAATGCACAGAATTCTCCCCTTAATGAGTAAAAACTATAAAATTGTCTGGCATTCATACAGTCAGGTGCATATAGGTGGCATGAGTGGCAGAAGTCTCCCCTTGACAAATAATATTGTCTGGCATTGGACAGAATAAAATAACATACTTTAGTATAAATTTTCCATATCAAATGAGTCTTCTGATTGGCTAGTTGATTAGTAAATGATTCGGCAAATTTGGTTTTAGCAGAAACATCCCGACTGTTGGGAAAAACCTTGCCGTGATATTCTTCAAAATCTATTTTATTTTGTATGCTATAGATTTCTCAATTTGTATGATACCATTTCTTTTGATATGTCGTGTTTTGATATGTCGTGTTTTCATTGTGCTGTATGGTGTTCTGACCAGCTTTATTGTGTTTTCGAAACTTGTAAAATTAAGAAGTGTTATCGTTAAAATTTTATTTCGAACTGTATAGTTTTACATTTCATTTTACCATTTTTCTCAGCCATTTCCTGAAAAAATTAATGCTAAACAGAAACTATTTTTAATTCTAAGTCTGGTGAAAAAGTCATTCCATTATTGTGTTTATATTCTAAGCAGAAATCGAGAAAAACAACTTTGTAATAAAGCAAAAAAGTCACAAAGGAAGCCATTTTGAAAGCGTGCATGCACAAGAAACACTGCAGTAGTATAGTAGGTGGTTTTCGGGCCGGATTTTTGAGGAGGAGTGAGGAGGAGTGAGGAGGAATGAGGAGGAGCGAGGAAGGGTGAGGAGGAGCGAGGAGGAGTAATGACGTGAGGAGGAGTGAGGAGGAGGAGTGAGGAGGAGTGAGGAGGAGTGAGGAGGAGTGAGGGTGCGTAATGACGTCACTCATTAACATACGTCATAATTATATGCAATGACGTCACGCGGGCAGGATCAGGTAAGTAATGACGTCACGCGGGCCTGTTCGGGCGAAATTGAACAAAACTTGCTGACCACGCGTTTTTTTAGCGTCACTCCTCGTGTATGATACAATGGAAGGATTAATGTTGACTTACTATGAATGGTTGTTTGATTTAACGAGCGTCTGTATAAAATCGACAAGCGTCTTGTAACAAGCATAGTTCTACATTTGACAACGCTCTTACTGGAGCGAGGAGGAGTAATGACGTGAGGAGGAGTGAGGAGGAGGAGTGAGGAGGAGTGAGGAGGAGTGTGGTGGAGTGAGGGTGCGTAATGACGTCACTCATTAACATACGTCATAATTATATGCAATGACGTCACGCGGGCAGGTTTAAACACGATCGGGCGAAACTTGCTGACTACGCATTTTTTAGCGTCTCCCACGTGTATGATACAATGGAGGGATTAATGTTGGCTTACTATGAACTTTTATACAAGTATCTGTATAAAATCGACAAGCGTCTTGTAACAAGCCTAGTTCCACATCAGTCATGGCGTGTCTACACGGCAAAACCACATCTTACAATTTATTGGAAGGAATTTTTGCGAATGCAGTCGCACAAGAAGTTGAAAGACTTTGTGTGGAATCCTGTAATGGTTGTCAAGTCGGTCATCCTAGTCAAAGACAACATGACTGCCTCATGATGAACGAAAACGAACGATGGCAAATGTATGGTTTACAAGCGATCGAACGAGTGAATGGTAAGCGTATGGTTTGGAATGAATTTGCTGAGGCAATGAGGGTACTAAAACTGGCGGTTGATAGAGATGTACTCGAACATTTACAGCAACTGGAAAAAGATCCAGATTCTACGTTTGTCGATTCATTGATGGAACTACATCAGAACACTGAGAACCACGAACTACAATGTATACTGAACTATTTGTTTCATTGGAGATTAGAAGACCCCCTCGAGTCCGTAGCTGAAGCGTTTTTCTCTTACCCACCGAGTTACATGTATTATGTGAAGGCGACGGGTGAACGATTTAGAAGTTTTGAGGCAGATCATAAGAAAGCTTATCAAGAACTCATGGAGAAAAAACTTATAGAACAGTTTAACAAATAGTTTTAGTTGTAATATTTTTTGACACTATCGTCTGTTATTTGTATCAATAAACATGTTTTATACTTTGCAAATGTTGCGTTGTTATGCGTTGCTACGTCATTAGGAGGCGTGTAGGTAATTAAGGGGATTAAGGCAATACGAATTTGCATAACTAAGTGTATCCCGATGGATAGATAGGGGTTATTTTTTAACGCAGGTGTATACCTTAAAATCAGGCGCGTGGCTTTGCGGGTACATGCATATATTAATACAATTCTTGACCGCCATCGAGATCTATATCGTGCAGTAAATGTTCGTGATCTAAACCTTGACCAAATCTGCAGAGAGATCAATGTAACAAACTTTGGTTGTATCATTGCCTATTTAGCTTTGTTATGTGTACAAAATGATAGCGAGGAATCTATTCGTCACAGTGTAATATTTTTGACACTATCGTCTGTTATTTGTATCAATAAGCATGTTTTAAACTTTACAAATGTTGCGTTGTTATGGGTTGCTAGTCATTAGGAGGCGTGTAGGTAATTAAGGGGATTAAGGCAGTACGAATTTACATAACTGAGTGTATCCCAGTGGATAGATAGGGATTATTTATAACGCCGGTGTATGCCTTAAAATCAGGTGCGTGGCTTTGCGGGTGTATGTATATATTAACGTACAAAATAATTGAACACTAATCAGGCTGGCGAGTCACGCGGGAGGGTCGTGCGGGACCAAACACAAACAGCCATTAAGAGTCAATATCACTACGCTCCCGTGTGTTTTTGAAAAGGCTTTTCAAAAGGTATGTTCTCTTGTGAATAGCGACCTCTAACGCTTCCCTGCATGTGGTCGAAGTTATCATCGTTAACAAAGACATCCCCTGGTTTCCATAACCTTTTTGTGTACTGGATCCCTCTTTAGTTGTCTTATCTTGTTATTATTAAATTTATTACAAATGTGTTGAACGGGAAGTAATGGGGATATTAATTTTGTAGCGAGTGGTTCGGTGGTTTTACAGGTGTATTTTCAGAATATATAGTTTCATTGATAGAACCATAAATATTGTGGTGGTAACGTTGTCGGGTAATCCCCACGGGCACAAAGACTGGGATAATAATTAATGTGATACGAATTTACATAAGCGATAGGCTCCTAATGCACATAATAATGAGAGTTATATTCATAGTGATCACCTTAATTAATTTATAAGTGATAATTTTCCGAAGTTACACCGAAGATTATAAAACAACGAGAGGTTTCCGACCTAGCGCCATTTTGTTTCGTGATTAAAATTTATTCCTGTCACAAAGCAAGGCGAGCTATTTACAGAATATGGAGAGTAGATATAAATGTTAGACGTTCTAAGTGAAATTATGGCTTACTTGACTTTAGTTTTTAAAGTGAGCGGGTTTTGTGACCTTGAAATTGTGCAAGAAGCTATGAGAATCTGTGTATGGGATTTGAAACAAGTGGATATAGCTAGTTTTGAAATAAAACAATCTTGGACGCAG